ACTGGCCGATCCAAACGGACGGCAGCGGGGGATGGACGGTGTGTCGGTTGGTCGGCGATGAGGCGGTGTGAGGATGGGGGGCGTGGGGTGGGTGTGATGGGTGGTGTTTGGTGTTGGGGCTGGGGGTGTGTGGGGTTGAAAAGGGAGTCTGGGATGGCGCGCGCTGACGCCCCCTCCAGACTCAAAATGCCTCCAACTGCCGCGCGCGCTGCTGATCAAATAACTGATGCCTGGTGCTGGCGGCATTGCGGGGCTTGTTTGACGTAGGAATCGCCGATTAAGCGTCGCGATGGAGTTGAGATCAATCCTTGCGTCGACCTTGCTGGTCCTGGTCGCTTTGGCCGGTAGGTGTAAACCGATTGCCACTCTTGCTCCTTCCTTCTTCTTTTTCGTGTGCTACTCTCCCCCGCCCCCTTCTGTCCCCCGCCCCCTGTTCCCTTACCCGTGATGACGATCTTCGCACGGCCTAGGTGCCATCTCGGCCCAGGACCACCTCCAGCCCGCAGGCGCCGTCTATCAGGAGCATACTCTGACACAGCCATATCTAAGTGCGTGTGCACACGCGCCACATCGGACCGGCCATTTCGCTCCGTTGGGTTTCTGACCTCCGCATTATTTGTTGTACGCATTCCTTAGCGAGTGGCCTGGTCATGCCCTTTTGGGATTTTATTGGTCATGCCGTCATTAGCGACGAGTTTATTCGCCTCACCCCAGACCGCCAATCCAAGCGTGGTGGTTTGTGGAACAGCAAGGTGAGCACACCCACACACACACTATCATGCACAACCCACATCGTGTTCCTTCAGGGCACCGAACACACAAACACACTCACACGAATGGACTCCATATCTCCCTTCTTACCATGCATGCGTGTGCGGCATCATGCTTGGCTCGCAGCCTGTCTCCGTGTCTGAATGGGAGGTCTTGGTCGATTTCAAGGTCCATGGCCAGGGCAAGAACCTCTATGGCGATGGCTTCGCCTTTTGGTACACCAAGGAAAAGAACATGCTGGGCGATGTTTTTGGCTCCAAGGATCACTGGACAGGCTTGGCCATCTTCTTTGATACCTACTCCAACCAACAGCTGCATCACCAAGAGGGCGCTTACGTGTCGGCTTTGATCAACGACGGCACCATTGATTACGATCATGATGCGGATGGCACCCACCAACAGATGGCCTCGTGCACTGCCAAACTTCGTAACAAGGACCATGCCACTCGCTTCCGCGTCAGCTACCGGTCCAACGTATGTCCCTACGCCACATGCTCTTGCAGCCTCGTTTCGACTCGCAACGAGCTTGGTGGACACGCGCGTGAAACCCGGATCTTCCTGTTTCTGGTCTCACTGTGCATTCCCTAATCATGTCTGCGCTTGTACCTCATAGACCCTCAAGCTGGAGTTGGACGTGGAAAACGCCAACGAGTGGACCGAGTGCTTCTTCGTGCCCGATGTGAACCTGCCCCCGAACTACTACTTTGGCATCTCAGCGGCCACGGGCGATCTTGCCGATAACCACGATGTGATCAGCGTTCGCGTGAGTACTTGTTTTTATTTTTTGTTTGTTCCCGCTATTCCTCAAATCGCCGCGTTTGTGCGCGTGAACGCTGACAGTGATCGCTTTGGCTTCTCCGTTTTTTTAGACTTCCGACCCTCCTCCCTTGACTGAAGGTGAACAAGATCGTGTCAAGGCGCTCGAGGCTTCTGGCGAGAAAATGGGCACAGACGATGGCCAGGATAAGTTTGCCGATGCTCTGAAGAAGAAAACACCCTTTGCTCGCTTCCATGAACGGGCGCGCCGTACGTCAGCCTTGCTTTTCCATGCATTTGAAGCACCATCCTAGCCCGCCACGATTTGCTTCAATGATGCCCACCCACGTTGCACTCATTTGCTGGTTGCCATAGGCCACATCGGTGAGCAGCGCAAGCGCACTGATTTCAATCAGGCCAAGAAGAAGGATCCTGTCCTGGCCCGCCTCTCGCGTGAACGCGACTCTTCGGGCCCTTCCAGCTTCTTGCTGTGGGGCGTTCTCATTGTTGTTCTCATCGCTGGCATCGGCGGTGTCTATTACAAGGTCTGTTTCTTTTTGCGACGCCCCGACTTCTAAAAGTCGGAGTTTCTGGTGCACGTGTACGCCTTCCTGGGCGGGTTGTCTCGTCACACCCATCTCACCTGTACCGGCATCGCCGCTGGAATGCTTTTAGACCCAAGTCTACGACAAGAGCAAAAAACAACACTTTGAGTTTTAAATTCCGATTCCAGGCAAATTGTTTTTTTTTTTCCTAAAGATCCGCGGACGTTGCCCTTGGCTGCCTCCAACTCGACATTTCTTATTGGGGATCACGGAGACTTTGAGTGCTGGCGTCATGGATCATGCCCAACCAATCGACATTGTATCTTGGGGCTGTACCACCCACTCAAGTGTCTTGAACCGATAGAATAATCGCGATTGATTAAAAAGAGCAGGGGAGAGGCGATGAATCGCTCGCGTAGCGAGGGCGGTCAAGGCCGTGTCAGGCCAAAATCAAGAAGACACAATGTCATCACGTCAAGAAAGTGACACAGGATAAAGAATAAGAAGGCAAAAAATTTTTAAAAACAACAACAGCAACAACTGAAAATTCAACCAAATTTTGGATTAGTCAAGCATTTACAAATCTGTGCTGACACTGGCCATGGCCTGCAGAAGCTCATTGTCTGCGCCACCCAAGGGCAGCGAGCGCTCAGTGGGTGCCTGCAGCTCTGCCACAGACACGGCCGAGAGTCGCTGCGAGGCGGCGGTGGCACAGCAAACACTGTGAGAATAAACAGGACTGCAATGCACGGCCAAGCCGAAGAGGGAGCGGGAAGGGGGGTGGGATCACACCATGTTGAGCACAGGCCGATCGCTGGCAACACAGGCGCGCAACAGCGCAAGTGCTTCGCCGTGGTGAGCACCATGAAGACTGAAATCATCTACCGCACAAATTTGCATACCCACTTGCACCAGCTTGTGCGTCGCCAGCAGGCTGTGAAGCAGACGGGCGTATAAGCCAACGCCAAGTGACGTGCCTTGACAACATCAGGATGCCTTCACAAAGCGCAACGAACCCATCGCTGGCAATGTCCTGGATCAAGATGCCATCGTCTGGAAACGGCGAGTCAGCGCCACCCGAAATTGACAAGCCAAGCTTGACGCCTGCTTTCTTAGGAATAGAGATAAAAGTGGTCTTGGCCACGTATTCTGTCGATTGCACATGCCAACTCATGAGCGGGCGATGATGGAGGTGCTTGCTGGTGCGCACAAAACGTACCGATGGCTTGTTCCAGCCTGCCGTCGTCCAAGTGGCCCAGTTCTTGATCGAAGCGACGCTCGTCGAGCGATGTCTAATTTAGATAAGGAATTGAGGAATCTGGGCTGGGCACTATCACGACAAACGCCTCTCTGGTTCAAAAGCCTCACCACACGGGGCACAACGTACCAGAAGGCATCGTCGCAGCGGGGTGATGAGCGAGGCACCATCGTGTGGAGTTAGTATCTGCTTGACTTGTGTTATTAACTTGCCAGCAGGCTCATCGCCCTTTTTGTATGCAACCACAGCTGCACGCAAGGCGGCTTGATCGGCTGTTGATTCCCATACACGGATGGCGCGAACGAATGACCGGAACAGCCATTTCGAAAAAGGAGAAAAACAAACGAACAAACAAGCAAACAGAGGAATCAGTTACGAACCGGGCAGAGAGGGACGGAACATGCAAGCAAGATGGGGGAATACACTCGACGGATCTTACCAGTGCTAAGCGGACTCTGGCCAATGAGGCGAAAGAGCTTGATTCGGTGACCCAAGGCTTCAACAGACTCGCCTTCAAGAGCCTCCTGACAAAGTCGGCAGTATTCCAACCCGGTAGAACAGCATCAGTTTGGGGAGCAGGAATGTAGTGGAATGCAAGGACTTGACGGGTGTTGAGCTGACCTCATCAGGCACCAGCCTGTCCATTTCGTCCGTGGGAGATTCCCACTTGAGGGTCTCGTGATGCACACGCGTGCGGGGCACGCGGCCACCGTTTTGCACCGTCATAGCGAGGGTGCGAGTACCTTGCACAATGCGTACGGCCGAATTGTGGCTCATGCCATTCATATCCCGGTTGTTGATTGTTAAAATGACATCACCGACGCGTAGGTCTGATTGCTGGGCAGGTGAGCCGCGAGTCACCTCTAAGAGTTCAAAAGGATCAGTGCAATGTCAGTGCAAAACAATGTTGTCGCATGGCAAGCAGACGCGAGACAGCTGGCCAGCGAGCGCAGATAGATCAGGCACGGACGTGAGACAACCAAAGGCAAGCCATATTCAGCGCCTCCACGAAGGTTAAAACCAAAGCCATGTTCGCTGCGCGTCATCTCGACATGGCGCTCCAAGGCGCTTTGGTCAGTCGACTGGTGGGTAAGTACATCGTGAGCGCAGATGAGGCGATCAAAACTTGCGAGCTTCACCACTACTAGTAGCGACAAGTGCAAGGGGAATGAACGTACAGAGCTTGAAGATGCCGTGCCTTCGAGGCGCATTTGGAGAGTCTTGGTAGGCTGCCACATGATGGCTTCTTGGGTTGCATGCTTGACGGGAAATCGGCCCGTATACTGTTTTGGGAATGGTTGCCAGGGTGTCAGAGAAGGAGCGAGGTTGGTGGGGGGGGGGGGGCGGCAAAAAAGGCCGCACTTCACACTGCGCTGGGGCCAAAGGGGGCAAGGGCTACCTGAACGGTGAGGTGGAGGGTGCGAGCTTGGGAAATGATTTCTGCGGCTCGACGGTGGGAGATGTGTGCAAATTGCATGCCATTGCAAGAAATAATTTGGTCACCCGAGCGCAAACCGGCTTTGTGTGCCGGCAAGCCCGGTACGATGGCCGCAATAAAGATGCCTACGCCTGAGATAGCAAAGCGCCCGCAGGGAGCCAAGTCCATGAGGCAGGCCGTGCGTACAGCTAAAATATGCAGGGATGGCGGTCGGCATGACAAAGGCACGCACCCATTTCACTACCACCCCGAATGTGCATGCCAAAGGATTTGTGATGCTGCTTGTGGAGGATGGCCCCACGGAGCTGGGTGAGGTCTTGGAGATCCTTGGCTGAGATGGGGTTGGCCATACGCTCATAAGGGGCCAGTTCGTCAAACTCCTTTCGCAGCTGCAGTTCGGAATGATGAGGGGAGTGAAGCAGAGCGAGCAAGCCCGCGCGATTGAGTAAGGGGGTAAGTGTGGCGCACGCTGGGGCGTCATCTCATCGGAACGCCGTAAGGATTCCAAGCAGCATACGTCATTGCGGGTGGGAATCACTTCGCGAAGCCAGCGTAAAAGATCGAGCTTGGCAGGGGTCTCCAGCACGTGCTGCAATAGGATCAAATCGATACGTCGATGTTGGAGATGAGTTCTGGACTGGCGGGGTGCGATGTAATCACAGCCGGTGCAGGTTGGCGTACCACGAGCCCGTTGACAAAACGCGGTACGGATTGGGAGCGCTTGAGTTCAGCCAACAAGTCCATGAGCACCTGGCGCTCAGGCTTGCTCAGAAGCTCGGTGGCCTACAATGCAACGANGGGGGATCGATGTAGCTGAGCTGTCGCGCTTGCGGCGGTGTGCCTGTGCCTGCACCTCACCTTGATGGTGAATTGTTGCATATGGAAGCGCCGTACGCGTGTCGTCCATCCTGCTGGTTTGGATCCCCGCAGGCACGACGGCGCAGCTACACAGAAGGCAAGAGGGGAAGACGATGAGATGTGTGTTCAGCATCAACCAAGCTTCACAAGATACCAATCGCTGTGAAAGGTATGGCCGAGACAGAGCAGCGGCAGACAGTAGCATAGCGGAGACAGAGCAGCGGCAGCGGCAGACAGTAGCATAGCGGAGACAGAGCAGCGGCAGCGGCAGACAGTAGCATAGCGGAGACAGAGCAGCGGCAGAAATCAGGTGCAAAGGCAACGAAGGAAGAGGAGGAGGAGGAGGAGGAAGAGGAGGAGGAGGATGAGGAGGAGGAGGAGGAGGTGAGAGATGGAGAGAGAGCTGAGGTGACTGAGAACGAGGCAGGAGAAAGGGGACAGTAGACGCGAGACAGGAGACAGAGGAAACAGAGAAAACAGAGGAAACAGAGGAGACAGCAGACAGCAGACAGCAGCCAGCAGCCAGCAGACAAAGTTGCCAGCAGACAGGAGGCGGCGGGAGAGAGAGAGAGAGGGGACCGCCGCCGCCGCCGCCGCAGAGAGAGAGAGAGAGAGAGAGAGAGAGAGGGCGTCAATTTGATTTCGTTTGCTATTCGAAACATACCCCTTGGAAGTAAAGTGGCAGAGGTGGAAAAGTGCGTGGTTGGACAGGGTTGAGGTGGTCAAGCTCTCTGGGCAGACTAGATTTTGAAAGGTATTCTCTTGATACGATCCAGACGATGATACTTTCTCTGATATGTCTTGAAATTTACATGAGTCTTCGATGCTTCACCAGATCAATCTCTAAAATATGTCTCCGTCCAACCTGTCTCTCTTCCATCTGACCTGCGTTTCACGTCTACCTCTGACCCAAAAATTGCCTGAAAAATTTTTAATTTCGCACACACACACACACACACACACACACACACACACACTCTCTCTCTCTCTCTCTCTCTCTCTCTCTCTCTCTCTGTGATCGCGCCGCGGATGATCTTCTGGGGGCGCAGCAGGCAGCGCATTGCATTGGACGACGTGGCCTTCGAGGCGAGCTTGGGTGGTCCACCGACGAGAGCTGGTCAAGGAAGGATTTGACGACAGGATCGGCTTTTGTCGAGTTCAATTTTGGGTGAAATCTCCAGGGTACGTGCGTCGTCGCCGTGTCGCGCGCTGGGCGCAGCGGCAAGGACACCGACCCGAGTCCTTCACTTTCTCTCTCTCTGCTGTCTCTCTCTCTCTCTCTCTCTCTCTCTCTCTCTCTCTCTCTCTCTCTCTCCGCCGTCGCTCGACTTTTGCTGTTCTAGCTCGTACCACGCAATAAAACAAGGGCCAGGGTGATAGGCGTCGTCGTTGGGGGGTTGAGGTTGGCTTCAGGCTGGTTTTGGGTAGCACCGCTCACATGGCGACACCGTCCCCCGCGCAGCCCGCGGCTCAGCCAACATCGCACGCCGACGCCAAGCCAGCCGCCATGTCCAACCCGACAGAGGTCAAGGTGCAGGACGCCGAAGACAATGACATGGTCAGCGGCTTCTCTGGCATGATGACGAGCATCAACAACCCCGAGGCCCGCAGCAACCTGCTCGGGCGCGTCAAGACATTTGTCAACGACAACCGCAAACAAATCGTGCCCTGGAACGAGTTCTTCGCACGTCCCTCTGCCCCAAAGAATGCTGCCGTTGCCACTCAGCGCATCTACCACAATGTTGGCAAGTTCAAGGCCAACTACGTCCTCATCTCCTGCGTTCTTGCCCTTTATGCGCTGTTTACCTCGCCCATGTTGCTGGTAACCCTCCTGATCATGTACGGCGGCTTCACCTGGGCCAACCACCTCAAAGAAAGCGGTCCCATGTCCATAATGGGCCGACAATTCGAGTCCCGTGAAGTGGCCGTGGCTACCGCTGTTGGCGGTGCCGTCTTCCTCTGGTTCTTTGGCGCCACCTCCCTCATCTTTTGGATGCTCGGTACGTGCGCTGCTTCCTTGCACACCGGGATAACTCTGCCAGGTCCCCCCTCACCCCAAATCCCACCGGGTCTGGGTTTGTTAGGCGCGACGCTATTCGTTGTTGGTGGCCATGCCGCTCTGATTAATGTTCCGGCCCCCGAGTTATTGCAAGAAAGTGCTTGAGGGCGTTCCTTCTTAGGCTCATCATTCTGGCTCTTCCCGCCCTGTTTGCTGTCAACATGCATCGGCAGTGAGTTTTTATCATGTTTACTTGGCACGGCAATTTGACTGTGCCAGAGTTTGTTTCTATGTAGCCCCCCCCTCTCTCCACCTTCAAATTGCAGCACTTAGCGCAGTGTTTTGCACGTCAGCAGTCAATATGCCATCATTTCACAGAGCCGATGTGCGAGTAATACAATTTTGTTCCTTTTTTGGTCAGTAAGTCAGAATGATGCGTGGCTACGCCGTGTCAGCCGACGGAGTAGTCACTTCAGATGAAGATGCGGTGGCTTCCCGCAACTGTCCCAGCCACGCTGCTACGTTGACGTCCGCCTCGTGATATTTGAGAAACACCTCATGGTCCTAGCAAAGCCACCAAGGGATCACCTCATCAGCTCGGGAACAGCATGTTCAGGCCACGCAGTGAACGCACGCACCTTGAGGGCTGGTCGAGTGCCATTGTCACTCGCCTTTCGATACTTGGGTCGACTTTCGACCTGCTTTTGCAAACTGCGATTCCAACACACACATGCATCACCATCCAAACCAGCCAGCCATCCCATGCAAGCTGTTTTACCTTGAGCAAAGCTATGGCGCAACGTACCAAGAAGACACTAAAAACGCAAAGGGCTCGGCATAATACTCTGGGCAGGGCGGTGGGTCATCTGACACACAGACGTATGCGTTCAGACCATGAGTGAGAGCCTTGGCATACATGTCGAAGCATCTGCTGGTCCGCACACACCTACCGCGGATGACGGCTTGAAGCAACGCATACAGACTGGTCCGGCTGACAACGTGATAAGGATGTTCCAAGCGCATCAGCTCCAAAAGTGTGACGCCGAGGGACCACACGTCCGACCGCAAATCATATGTGGGCCCTGCATCCACGCTTATCCGCTCCGGCTGCCAATCAAAACAATACGACAATGGTGCATGCATCCACATCGGCAGCGGTTGAAAATAAGGCAACAATGTTTGATCTTTGTCCTCCCTTTCTGTTGGTGGTCCAAGGTTAAATATGCAGGGGCGACAACCATGTCGCTGCAGCTTCCTCACTCAACACATCGGATGGGATGGCGCACGCACCGGTAAATAGGGTTCGCTGCCCACGTTGGTGACGCAATACGAGTTTTCCATTATTGACGCCAGCCCAAAGTCGCACACCTTGACCGTACCGTCGTGGGCCAGCAGAATGTTGCTGCGCCGCACCCAATATTGCAAGCGTTAGATAAACAAAGCGAGGTGCCGGTAATCCATCGCTTGTGACCCACCTGGGCTTGATGTCACGGTGAATTGCACTAAAGTCTGCCTTCATGTAGTCCAAAGCGGCAATGATCTAACGCAAAAGCCAGGAATGGAATGTGCCATGTGAAGCCTGGCTCGCCCATATGGCATCTGAGGTGCCCGGTTTTTTTCGGCTACTGCCATGCTTGACTAACCGAGGCAGCGACTTTGCCCACGATCGGCTCGGGGATGTGGTCAAAAGCTTCAGATTCTTTGACCATGGTCATAATCACGTCCAAATTGGTATCGCACAGCTCCATGTAGAGGCGAATGTCCCCTTCCCAAATATTCATGCCAAAGTATTGTACCAGATTGGGGTGATTGAAGGCTCGGCTCAACTTGACCTCGGAGAGCAGGAGGTTGCGTTGATCGGGCTCCATCGAGTCACGAATATACTGTCATTGCACGGTATGAAATGAGCCCCCTCTCCCTTTATTGAAGCATGTGCAAGCAGGGGGCGTGCGATGGCACGCCAAGAAGGTTGGCGAGCCTGAATTCTAAAAAGCAATGCAAGCACAGCCAACAGCGCCTTGCTCACTGACTTTGATGGCCACCACGCGCCCCGTGGGCACGTGTCTCTCACGGTAGACGGTGCCATGTTGGCCTATCGCCGAGATGCGGGCCCCAGGGCAGCCGAGGAAAGATCAGTCAGAGGCCGGAACAATGAAGAACCCAAGTTCGAGCCGAGCTTGCGCATCGAGTATGGCCAACCGCCAACGACCTCTCCCTCCTTCATCATCAAAAAGGCCGACAACAATGACCAACCGTTGCCAATCTCCGTGCGAGAGTCCCATTCCGAGTCGGCAATGTCGTATACGGTCCCATCAATGGTAATGGTGCCCAGCTCACCCTCGTCCAAGACCTCCTCGAAGCTAGCGCCACACAAGCAGAGTTGAGGCAGTCATCGGATCGCATGAGTGAGGCAGGGACAGGGCAGATTGGCCGTCTACCTGGTCAAGTTGGCTGGCTCTGAAGGCTCAAGGTCATCGATGGTCAAGCTCAAGCCCGGTACCCGAGGATGCGAGGTTTTGGCCCTGTCGTCGAGATCGCAGCAGCAAATACAGCAGCGCCAGGCATGTCAGATCCCGTGTGGGTCCCGCGCAAAGAAGCATAAACGCAAAAGGACGACGCACGTACGCCGCGGGCATGGCAATGGCCGGCTGGAAAGGATTATGGCTCATGATGCGGGCGACTGTTGTTTGGGTGTAATGGGGCAGCGCAAAAACACGCAGGGCGAGCTCAACGGCCCAGCGGCATACTCTAATCCAATCGAATTCCGGCAATTCTCTCCCTCCCCTCTCCTCTACAGATGATAGAGATGGTGGACCACGCGTGACACCACGCCTTCCTCACAGCATGTCGATGCCCCGTCTGAGCGGGCGCGCCGAGATGGATGAGAGACTGCGCTCACTGAACACACACACACACAGAGTCGCGTTGTTGCAGAAGTTGTTAGAGAAGTTGTAGCATTTATGGATAATAATAAAAGTACATGTACACGGATTTAAACCTTTTGTATATTCTATAACCTTTTAACTGATATAAATCGTAGATAGTTTTATAGTAAATGTAGATATCAATGGTAGGTAGGGGAGCTTTTGTCGTTTATTAAAAAATAAAAACCAGACCGGGTCTACGCCCTGATCGTCGATGGCGGGGGCTGCTAGAAGGCGCGCCAGAAGCGCGCAGGACATCATGGTGCAAAGAGGAGAAGGGGAGAAGCAGCGTTGGAAGAATGCTCTTAACAGCAACATGAAGAAACCACAAGCTAATGGTCATAGCAAGCCTTCGTCAATAACTTGGGCTAGAAGTGGGCGTTGACTTCATAAGGCTCGTCGGTCGCCCTGTGTTCCGAGTTGAATTCGTCGGGGACTCAAACTCGTGCATTCAATTTGACATCAGCTAGCCAACCACGGGGCCTTTTATAATGGGATCTGGGCTTGTGTTAATATGTTTTTGATGACTGGAAGTTGTGGATCGTCGGCCCCACTCAAGTAGTAGCGACGCCACTGCTCCAATTTGGTCGCCGTGGCAGTCTCCCGCTCCTTTCCAGTGGCCAGGGGCTCGAGCTTGCTAGCGACAACCCCATAGTTCTTGTGCCAATAGGCAGGGATGGCCCGACCAGCCACCGTTTCCTGGTCCAACAATCGACGATAGTTCTAATGCACATGCAGAAACTGGTTAGCCCACGACTCTGCAGACAGGAGCAATGTACATGACCAAAGTGCTCACCTCCATCGAAGCTCGGTAGCAGGCAGCCTGTGCTGAGCTCTCACTCTGCCCTTTGGCAATGTCCTCAAAGAACATGGATAAAAACACGCCATAGGATTCATAGCCCTATAACAGCAAAAAGTGCATGGTCAGCACGCCACCAAGCAAGCTACCACACCCAAACATGCGCCTCGTTCACGTGGGACATCTATTGACCTGGCGCACGACGTTTTCCCAGGTGCGCTCATCGTAACGGTCAGCCGGTGGGGGCGTATACTGCAATCGCATGCCAAGCCAAGCGCAATTGAGCGCGCCGCTGCCACAGCAGGGTGGGATGAACCTCAAAAGCAGAAGCGCCAAAACACACATTTGGAACGGCGGCGGAAGCGTTGCGTAGCCATGCGCCCACGTCCAGTGGAAAATCATGTCGAACGACACGGTAAGCCATGCCATAGTGCCACACGCGATATCTATGGCAATTCACGGCACCAGTCAAAGAGGGAACAGGTGCGCATGGGTCAGTATGGAGCGAGCCCAAAGCAAAGTGAGAGTCAGGCTTTGGTTTTCAAAACCTACTTGTTCTGATAGGTATGATCGTCCACGTTCATGTTTTCAAACACAAAAATGGGCCGCTGATCGTAATTAGCGTCCAAAAACTTGAGCATATCGAAATGATCGTCCCCAAAGCGGTAGACGGGTGTTTTGCCTACATGTATCACAAATGCGCGTGCCTAGCCGTCAGCCATCACTCCAGGTCGTTGACAAGAAAAAAAAAATCCGAAAAGGAAAAAAAATCACGCCCCGTGACGGGCGGGCAATGCAAAGGCAAACTGACCTGGAAATACGAGATCCGGCTCGTGACGCCGCAACATCGGCACATACCTGATTCCCCATCCATCCCCCAAAGCAACAATGAGACACTGGCAGTCATCAACAGTCACTGTGCCGCTTCATGAGACCTCGGCGCCATACCACTCAAAGGTCATCATCTCCAGATCCAATATGTGCAAGTCGGGACGGCGATTCTCGCACAGGTGCATATAGCGAGCTGCATTGCCAGGGAGATCTCCCATGGTAAGTAGGATGCTGTCCTATAAAAAGATCGCCACGCAAACCACAAGCCCCACATAAAGTATTAGCGTTCAATAAAAAAAGAAAAGAGAGAGAGAGAGAAAAAAAAGACGGGCGTACTGGCCATTGCATTTGTACAGACACCACATTCTTACATGGGGAAGCCCATCCAGAAGAGCACTTCCAAAGTTACGAAAGGCCGTGTTCTGGCTCTCGTCGCGGGCCTGGTAATTAACCGTCACCATGGAGGCTAGCAATACCAGGGCCAGGGCTCGTCCAATGCTGATTCGCCATGCCGAACGAGCAAGTAGCAAGCGCAGCAAGGCAACAAAGCCGGAGCCTGCCAAGAACGCCAACACCAAGTTGGGCTGCATCCAGAAGCGCTCGTGTACACCCAGTAGCAACGGCTCCTCGATGTTCAAATTAGCACGGGCGTTGAAGAATGCCTCATACAGCAGAAACATGGCCATGACAACAGCCTATGTTGAAGCGTTGCCATCCGGAAATCCATTGAGGGGTGGCAGCAGGAAGAGGGGAGGAGGAGGAGGAGATGGTGTGCGTGCGTGTGTATGTGGCTCACACAAACGACCAACAACCTGGGTGGCCCGGTGCCCTCGTGCCATCGGCAGCAACAGTGATGCCAAAGCCAGTGGAAAAATCAAGTGCAGCGTTTCCTGAGCCAGAGCCGACGGGTACCAAAATGAGTGAAAGCTGTTGCCAGTTGCCAAGCGTCAACCACGATCATCCCCCGAACAAAAGAGAGCTCAGGAAGAAAGAGCAAAAGTAGAAAAGGAAAAAGGAGACAAGGATACCTCGGAGAGATGCGAGGCGTGGAGCCACAAGCGATCGCCAAAAGTGGTGGTTGTGGTTGTCCGGCTGCCTAGTGAAAAGGTGCCATATTCTTGCCTCAAGAAATGGCTGGGGACGTCGTGCGTCAGTTTTTCGTCTCGTGACAAATAAACACAGAATAAAGGCGAAGAAGAAGAGGACAGACCGCCAAAAGCCACTCCACGTGCGCTGGTCCCCCCAAGTGAGCTTGGCCTCGTTGCGCCAGGCAGAAAAGGGAAGGTAGAGGTAGGTGGCGGGGCCCACCAGACCACACAAGCCCAGCGTCTGCGGCAGGAAATACTAAGAGTTAGCATACGCAGGGAAAGAGCGGCATTTGAAGGCGCCGCCTCTGTGTCGCACCAAAAGGCGTTGTGGCGTCCAGAGAAAGCTACGCCCAGCCCAAAGCACAGCCAGAACGCATGGTGCCAGGTAGAGAACGCTCGTGTGCTGGTTGCTGGTAGCCAAGCCTGTGCATTGCCATGATGGTGTGAGAGCTCTGACACAATTGTAATCAAGGGACAAACCAGTCAAGGTGGTTGAACAACAAGTTCAAGGTACACATACCGGCCACAAAGGCACCGGCGCAGGCGATATGAAAGGCGCGCTGAGCCGTGGACGGCTGAAAGGTCGCGGCTCGACGCCAGAGGCTGCTTGCCACCTCCGGCACCTCAAAGTAGTAGCAGGTGGCACAGAGAAGACCGGCCAGCAACAGATTGTTCAGGGCAAAGACTGGAGCACAGGGCAACGAGGAGGTGCAAGGTCAGGGCTGAAGCTGCTCCTCAGAAAGGCGCGCAAGACAAGGGAGGCACACCTTCGGCAGCCGTTGAGTACATCCAGGTGAGGCGACTGAACGAGAAGAGCGCAACGGCAACCACACCACCAGTAACGTCTTGAGTCACGCGAACAGTCGCCAAGTGCAGCAGAGTACCAGCCGCTGAGGACAAAACACGAGCTGTGAGACGGGCCAACCCAACCCGCTCGTTGGGAAGGGACAAAAGGGGTAGCGATCCGATAGCGGTGGCGAGGAGGCCTGGGCACACCTGCAGCGAGGAGGGCCGTTAAAATGTTCGCCCGATAGGCCGGGGTGCCCAATTGTGGTAGCGCTCGCATGAAAGCACCATAGAGCATGGTAAACAGTGGGTAGCCTGGACAGAGCAGAAGATGAGCAGCGCATGAGCTGGCTTGGCCTATCTGATGGGAACGGTTCGTGCCAGTGGTCGAGGCGGTGGGGGCTGCAGCGCACCAGGTGGATGGGCCACGCCGCCTACACAGGCCACGGCCAGAAGCTCGCCCGAATCGCCGCCGGGCACGCTTGCATGGGCGGTGGCGCAAAAGATAACGGCCTGCAACAGGAAGAGAGCTACTGCGCTCGGCACCAACCAAGCCCCATGGCTGGCATTGATGTCCTCGGGCGGTGTGACTCGCGACGACGGGTCGTCACGTGACACTGACTCTGGCTGCACAGCAGCTCTGGCCTTGTTTGCCTTGACTCTACGCCGCTCCACCATGGCGTTGGTCAAGTGGCAACAGGATCATCCAAACCGCAATCACCTCCGTCCTACCAAGCGCCACCTTGTCATATGTGAAGAAAAACGAAAAAAAAAAAAATTGCTTGGATGCATGCTTTTTATTTTTTTGAAATTTCTTCTTGTGCTGCACCATCAACTGGGTCCTGGGTCATATTGTTGCTGTTGTTGTGTGCCATGTTGCATGTGATTGGGATTGGATCGCTCATTCTGGACCTTGGCTTCTTGATGTGATGGTTCTTATGCTTGAAGTTGTGTACTGCAAAGAGGGGGCCAAGAGATGCTGTAGTGACAATGATGGCAAGGGAGGGGATCCAATTTGTGCAAAGGCGGAAAAAAAATGGATACTGGCCATCTCGTGGCAGTTCTTTAGACGAGCGGAAACGGCCACCCACAGGGGCAGGGAATACAGAAGAAACAGGCAATGGTGACACCTAGAGCAAAGACACTGGGACAAACAAAGAGGTACGTTCAGAAGGAAAGAAACAGAGGGACAGGAGCCACACAAAACATTTCACAACACTGGCGCCTAGCGCCAAGTGACCGGGTAAGCATGCGCACGGGTAGAAAAGGAAAAAGGGAGAAAAAGCAGGTGCCACGCTCGCTCTGCACGTGGGCCATGAAGATGAAGCGATGAGGCGCGGCATTGATCAACAGGCCAGCGAGATTTTATTGAAACGGGATTTCAGAGCGGGATGGACAACGGACGGGGCGAGACGGCAAAGTACAGAATCAAAGGGCCCTCAGGAGATGACGGGATGGGATGGGAATAAGCATGGTGTGGTTTTGCAATCAGCCCGTCGGGCTGTCCGTCGGCATAAAACAGGAAGAAAACAGGGTATGTGGGGGCGCATCCAAAAGCACCGACGCCAAAACTATGAGGGCGTTCACCTCAAGAAGGCAGCAACAACCGCCCACATGACTTCCGACGCGTTGGGCTTGGCAGCCTCTGTCTCGGGGTCAGCGTCCAACAGCTCCCGGACGCGACGCATGGCCAGCTCATAATCATCATCCGAAAGGGGCGAGAAGGCATTCTCCAGGACATCCGAGGCGTGGGCCATGTACAAAAGGGCGAGGGTGCGCTTGTCCATGCGGTTGGGGTCATTTTGCCACCGCGACAAGACGGCATCCTGCACCTTTTTCACGACGCGCTCCTTGATGGCCGCGTCGGTGACCGGGTGGGTGGTCATGTCAAAGAGCAAGAAGTTTTGCTTCTCGGTTGTGAGCACGCCCTTCTCCACCAGATTCTTTGCTAGGCGTTCGCGTACGTTGCGCAGCTGGTACTTGAGCTTCAGAGGATTCCACGTTTCGCCACTCAGCAACTCGATCCAATCCTGCACCGTTTCGCCGGGATCCGTAGTCTTGATGTGTCTGGAACATGGCATCGGATAGGCAAGAGGAAGGCAGACAGGCCAAACAGATGAGCGTGTGGTGCACCATGGTCAAGGGGGCAAGTGGCAAGGGGTTGGGCACGGGAGGAGGGATGGGCGAAGATCTCACTTGAGTGCCTCGTCAAGAATCACATCGCCCGTGTTGCGTTCGCCCTTTGGGAGCGGGACGACTTTGCGAGCGGTAATGCTACGTTTGCGGCGACCCATGTCTTCGAGGCCAATCTTGCTGCGCAGTCCGAGCTCAATGAGCATGCAACCTCGCAAGCCCGAGGAGATGCAGTCATTCCAGAAGGAGGTGTAGCCTTCCCGGTCCTTGATACCGAGCAGGAGAACCTCCTCCATGAGAGTGAGGCGGGAATACTTTGAGGAATCGTCTTCGTAGCCCTCGTTGTCGTCCTCCGGACCTGCGGCCGCGCTGACATCGTCATCTCGCGCACGCGAGGCTGCCGCATGGCGGCGCTGAACCATGGTGCGCTCCATGCTTCGAGGTCAAAACAACCACACGGGAAAGGCCCTGGCTCTATTCAGTCCACCGAGACGGCGCCTTGGATTTGTCGAGGGTCGCAGAGCAGCAACCTCGACACTTTGTGGAGCGCAAACTGCGGCAGGCAGCCCAGTAACAGGGCGAGAGAAATGCAAGTGCAGTCGTGCAACTGCAAGTCGTAGATCGCGCACCGCGCACACAATCCGAATGCCCCCACGAGCGAGCGCGAAGAGCTAATCGGGTCGGGAGTGGCGCAAATCAGTTGCCCGCGCGGCACTCTGCGCAGCACACCGAACACAGAACCATGTGAGTCATCCTTGCATGCAATAGACCCGAAAAAGAAAGGAAAGGAAAACAGAACCCCAAACTCCTTGCCCCGTCCCGAGAGCACATGGATTCACTGTGCAGGCAGATGCATCTCACCGGCGCTGCGGTTATTCACACTGGATCAGGGAGTCGGCGCTGCCAATTCCAATGGTCACAGTGAGCTGGCGGCGGCGACGGCGAGACTTTGGTGTTGAAAGGGCAGAGATGGAGTATGACTGAGTGATGGCTGAAGAGGGTAGTTGGATCGGCCGGAACTCAAGCAGAGGTTGAGCGCGATCCGTGGCCACGGTTAAGGTAAACTTAAAGGTGAAAACAGAGAAAGAGACAAATCGGGAGACGGCGGGAAGAGATAAAGGCCTAGCAGAACCTACCCCAAGAGAATCTGAACAGCGACAAGAACAAAAGAACCGGTTCTGTGGAGAACAAAAGAATGGGAAGCAAGCCAAAGGAAAACACAATAAACAACGCGTCAAAAATGTCATTCGTAACAATACAACTTTTCAGCGGCCGGACTTGGTTCGACTTGAACAACACCTGTTTCAAACTATAGTTGTAAACTGACCGTTACGCCCGTCCGTTATTTTTCGCTTTTTTTGCTTTTTTTTAAATTTTTTTTGGATCCGACGACGGCTCGGCGGACGAGCCTTGGGGGGGGGCACGCAGACGAAGTGTTGAGGCCCAGGCCTATAGACGTTGGTGTGGGCTGCACTGGGGATGGGGGAGCTGGATGTGAGCGTGTGTATGAGCTGAACCACGTCTGCTGCGGCGTCTGCCAGTCTCGCGCCCTCGTTCTTCCCAACGGACCAGCAGCTGCGGACACAAGTCACGGAGCGCGGCTTTCGCGGGTCACACTGGCCCTGCGGCATCCACATTACACTTTTTTTTGATCCACTTGATACCCGCCTGCTGCTTTCTGTTTGCCTCTCGCCCCCGGTCGCGGCATCGTCTACGTGGTCACGCCCCCAGTCACTCGGATCATTCAGCGCGACCGCCATTGCGCTGACAAGATGACCTAAGTAATCGCGAGTGTCCTGGCGTGCCCTTTGGACGCTTTCCTGCAAGCGCCACCCGTGGCTCTGGCACATCCTTTTGCACACCATCAACGACATGGCTGCAACGCCCGTCGCCAACGCAACGTTTGCCCAGTCAGCAGATGCAGCCCAGCTACCCGTGCCTGCGCCCAAGGCTGAGCTCTACGCCCGGCTCGATCGCTTGATTGCGCAGCTATCTGCCCCCTTGCTCGAGGACCGTGTTGGAGCTCTACACAGCATCACCTTCAAACTGGCATGTGGTCTCCTTCTAGTCTCTGATCTGGTTCACAAGGAATCACTCCTGAAAGCGCTGCTGGAGTGGTTCAACTTTGAAGACGTCGCCGAGCACTCTGCCGTCTTGAACCTCATCTTAAAGCTCGCCGAGGTCAGCACCGCCCCTGCTGACGCCAGATCCAGATCCAACTGCCATTCTCCAGCTGTCTTATTAGTCGTCCGTGCCCTCGATTCCTCATGCGCAAACCCGCCATATCTCACCACCCCGCCTCGTTCTGCTGGCTACATTGCAGCACCCGGCTTCTGCAGCCCTGCTCGTTGACCTAGGGGCCGTCGACTTTATGCGTGATCTTCACGACTACGACCCCAACAGCCTGGACAATGAAGTCATCGAGCAGATTTCTCACGCCCTGCTCCTTCAGCCTCAGCAGTTGCGGCGCCATAGCTCGACCAGTAGCGGCAGCCCCGCGAGTCAGTTGTTGCTGCCTCCCAACATCCGCGTAACGCCAGCCACACCCCGACATGCCTCGGCCCCCACAACTACTGCTCCGCAACCCGTACCTCCCAGAAGCGATCTCGCATCGTCTGAACATGGAATCGCCCGTGAACCCCCTGCTGCTGGGTCGCGTCGCGCGCCCCCCTCGCTCGGTGGAACACACATCCCTCCGCCCCGCACCCACACCACTCCCGCAGCCCACGGGACAAGGTCGGAAGGCATGCAAGAGGACGACCACAGCCTTATCCGCTCTCTTCTGGTGGATGGTGCGTGCCACTTTTCAATTCCTTCGCTTCCCTCCGCTCGTCTTTGAGTTGTGTGCCGAAAAAACTAAAGTACCTGTCCAGCTGCACGAATTTGTAATGCTTTCCGACACTTGACCCATCTCTGCCCAATGCCGTGCCCATAGATGACCTGGCCATTCTTGATCTCGTGATTCAGCGCCTGTCACAGGTGGAGACTCTGGTCCAAGCCTGCCAACTCATTCAAGACGTTCTCGTGCTTGATTTTCCTCCGACCCTGCTCCTCGTCTACCACCCTCTGATGATGGTGTGTCTCGAAGCTGTTTTACGCCATCCAACGGCTCGCAACCATGCCCAGAGCCCCGCGATTTTCGGATTCCGACACTCACTTGCACGCACTCTGACTCGCTTTGACCTAGCGTCTGCACCACCAGCTGCAATCTGTGCAGCACCAGCCTGAGCTTGTCCAGCCCATCCTACAGGCACTCTCTGCCATTTTGACACAGGCCGGGGCCGCTATGATCAAAAGCGTTGATCGTGCCTATTTTCAGTACGTGGCCTTTCCCTGACTTGTATGGGCTCGTGCAAGTACCAGAGGCTTCGTTCAAGTCGCTCGCTTTCGCTTCTCACTCCACTTTCCGCCGTGCTTGCTCGCGACGCTCAGGATTCCGGTCCTGCCCACTGAAGACGTGCTTGTTCCCCTTGAAGCAAGCATCAATCTTTGTTTACAGTTGTTGTCACAAAGCACCGCGGCCGTTCAGGGGTCGGCCCTCGTCCTACTTCGCGCGTGTTGTGCTCTGCTTGCTTGGCCTGGTTGGCCGGTTCCGGCTCTCGCCTCGCTGGCCCAACCCATGCTGGATCAAGTGACCTCCACATTGGGCCGCGCCTGCATCGGACGCGCCTCGCTAACCGAGACGGCATTCCAACAACACCTTGGTCTCTTACATCATTTTGCGGCCAGGGTCATGTTGCCGCGGGCCGAACTACAGCCGTCCCCCCGCTCGATCATAAACCTGCAGATTCTCTACTATCACGAAATTATGCGCCAATTGTTTCCCAGTACCGGCGCCGTCCTGCGCCAGCTGCTGCAACGCGCAGACGACACCGTGACGCATGCCAATCTCTCCCAGCTTGATGCCACCCATGCCGCATTGCATGCCGTCCACCACACCGTGGACGCCGGCGAGCTGCAACTTCCCTCCACACTCCAAGCCGCTGTCCCTTGCTTGTCCAGCATTGGACCCGAGACCCTCCGTGCCTTTTTGGCTTTGGCTATTCCACGTGCTGTTACTGCCATGTCCAGTGAGGGCGTTCGCGGCGCATGGGCTGCTGCCCTGACCCGTGTCTGCCGCCCCCAAACACAGCGCGTGCGATTTGAAGTCCTCGCTCAGCTTCAGCTATGCTTGGCACAAGAAGCCTCTGAGTGTGTCGGCCAACATGCTGCCCTCATGGAAGCCTGTTACACTGGACTTTCTCAGCCAAACCAGGTGCCCCGCCCCAACGCTTTACCCTCGTGTATTTTTGCTGTACTCGCGCACCTGCTCCTCTTTTGCACGCCTGTCAGCGTGTGCTTGTGCACATGTATAAGTGGTATTCCTTACTCTTGTTCGTTGGTGGCCACGCATAGATTGCAACCGTGGCACGCGAGATTTTGGCAACACTCTGGCTGCGCCATGCCATCGGTACAGCCCAGTTCTTGAGAGGCCTCCTCGCCTGTCACACCAGCGAGCTCTTGGACAGGTCAGTCATGTTCAGGACGCGTGTCATGCCACGGCTGCTGAACCACACGAAGCAAGGCAGAGGCAGAGGCAGAGTCAGCCTCAGCAATGAATTTTGGAGCACCCTGTGCAACCACCTCACGCACATGTCTCGTGCCTGGGCTCAGCGTTCAAGAGATTGCGCCCCTCACCCCTGAGATGGATTCCTCAACTGCCCCCCTATGGCTGCTCTTGCTCTTTCATCGAGCTGAGCCCGTGGCGGCGCTGGCTCAGCGCGCACTCGTGCACGTTCATGCGCTGACGGTAGGTTCTTGAAGAGACGCACCCTGCGCGCTGCCCGGTGCGCACTTGGCTTGCGCATAATCGCTCATAAGATTCTTCCTTTGCTTTGAACCCGACTTGTTTTCTCTCGGCTACCACGTTGCTCAGAGTGAACTGGATGTTCGGGCGGAGCTTCGTCGCTTGGCCCAACCCCTGTCTCCAGAGACCCGAGCCAGTCACCACTGGCGCAGCGCTGCCAGCAACCTTTCGTTGGAGCGTTTGCAACAACTAGCTCGCATAGTCGAGGACCCTCATCTACAGATGGCACAGAAGGCTGCTGCGCTGGACATTGTATGCTCCCGCTCGCGATGCCTTGCCAACCAAGCTTTGAGGCATTTTCTACTGCCTTGTCTCTTGTGTCTCGATCATGCACTCATGTTCTGTTTGACTCTGGCCGTCCTTAGATGCGGAAACATGCTCAAAGCTCGGTGCCAACTGCAGACTGCCAGCACGTTTTACTGCGAAGCGCAGAGGCTGCGCTGGCCCTTGGCGAGCTGGCTGAGGCTCGCGTCGACGCCGCTGTGCTTGAACCAGCGATTGACATCATGGTGCTGCTCTTGCGCCAAGGCCGGATTGATGCGGCTGAAGCCCTTGTTGTTGACCAACAAGTACTCGGAGCAGCGCTTTGTGCTGGTGCTAGCCTTGACCTTTGCCAAAGTTTTCACGCCTACGTAACAGCGCGGATGCTCCAACTTTGTGGTGGCCGCACTCCACCGAACTACCTGCTCAACGCGTTGCATTTGAATTGGACCGCAGCCTCCCCCGACTCAGCCACCCAAGAGGAGGAGGAAACGTTGGTGTTTGCCGATGCTGTGGCGGTCAGCGACGCCTTTTGGCGTGCCAAGCATGACGTAAACGAATTTTGCCATCTCATAGCCGAGCCCGTGACGCACTGGGAATCAGATACTGTGGCCGTGCTGCGCCAAACCACAGAGGTGCTCGTGTACATGGACGTGGCAGCGACTATGCAAACGCGACTGGACGAGCTTGAAGATGTGTTTGCACATCACGGGCCCCTCACAGACGCGCGCCTGGCCGCTGTGCTGGACCACCTGGCACAGCTTTGTGCTCTGCTACCCGGCCTCGCCCGACCTCAGGGCCGTGCCGTTGCGACCCGACTGCTGGATGCGTGCCTGCGCTGCTTGCAAAAGAGTGTGGATCCTGGGATGGCACCGCAAAAGGCTGACCACACGCTCTGCCTTGCCGCCACGCGCTGCCTCCGCCACCTGCAGTCAGCGGCATCGCTAGTGCCCTTGGCAGACTGGGGGCGGCTGGTCCCGGCCCTCGAAGGCTGCCTGGCTTGGGTGTTTATGCAGTCCATCGGGGTCCCCGTGGAGGAGGCAGCCGTGCGAGATCAACCTCTGCGACAAGTACAGCAGCTGGCCTTACTCTGCTGCCACGATGTCCTGGCCCTGCTCCATCGCCACGGTGCACCACACATGCAGGCGGACCTCACCTGTGTCAACACCTTCCTGGACATGCTGCAGGCCTTGCAACAGAATCGTTTTGTTGATCTTTCCCTCCTCACGCGTGCCTTGCAAGTGCTGGCTGTCTTCATCACACACCGTGCGGCCGTGCGAATGGCACCTGAACTGCTGCGCCGATGCATTGCTCACGTCGTGCCCGTCGTCAACAGTTTCAAGCGTGCCAATGCCTCCTACGTCCACTTTGCCTTGGTGCAAGCTTGCTTTCGCTGTTTAAATGAGTGGGCACCGGCCCTTCGACAGCTCTGGGCCCTGCACAGGCCTTTGGATAGCGCTGCTGCGCAGTCGACCGAATTGGACGACGAACCTGCTGTGCAGGGCCCGTCATTCTTTGGCGAACATTGGATGTGGCGGGACGACATTGCTTGGCTCCTTGAGCTGCTTGGTCACCCACTTGTGGACGTCCAAACCGAGGCGCTGCGCCTGTTGGGTCAACTTCAGCTTGATACCGCCGCAGCTCGTTCTTTGGGCCGCGCTCGATTGAGCATTGGACAAACTGAACTGACGCCTCTCGAGTATATATTACACTGTGCCGTTGGCGCATCATCGCCCATGGTTCGCATCGCTGGCCTTGAGAGCTTGGAGCTGGTCGGCGGCCAGGTGTTTGCCCCAGGCACGGACGTGACGGTTTTGGAGTGGCTTGATCGCAACAACTTTTGGGCCCATTGCTCCAGCTTGCTGGGGTCGGGCGCGCGCTTGCTCGACCGAGTGGATGAGCTTGTTCCCTTGGTGGGACTGCTCGTCCAGGTCTGTCGCAGCCAGGATCCAGATGAGTTTTTGCCCCGGGTTCGCGCAGCCAACTGGTTGCGCGAAGCAGCTGTCTTGTTTGTGGATGCGAGTCGCCACGCCGAACTCGGCGTGCAGCCCGGACGCAGCCGTTCCCGCTCGGAATTTGCCACCACAACCAGCTTTGAGGCCGACACATCGGCGCGACTCGGTCCAGATGCACCCGTGTTGCGCTCGGGATGGGCACATGCTGGACTCACACTAATCATGCAACTAGTGGCATTCTTTCATGCCCTGCGCTTTGAACTGACAGCTGGTCCGCTGGTGCAGCTGGATGCGCCTTTCCGGCAAGGCCTCTTGCACACGGCGCGGGTTCTCGCGCAGGCTGCGCAGCAGAATGAATGTGAGTGGGAAGGTGTGTCTGAACTTCCTCAACACACAACAGCCCTGACCTCAGAGGCTGAGTTTGACCCGGGGCTGGAGATTGTTGCACTGGCCATGAGCCTGGACCTGGGTCTGCAACTGGCGCAGCACGGCAACTTGGACGAGGACTTTGTCGGGCAATTGGCTGAAACTGCTGTTGACGCCTTGCAGCTTTGTGCCACAAGCAGAGTGAATGTTAGCTTGCTGCTGGGCATTTGCCACGTTTTGGCCCACGAGCGCCTTCACCTGTCCGAAGCTACCCGTGCCCGTGCTTTGGAAGACGTCTGGGCTTTGGCGCGGCGTTTGTGGCATGCCACCCGGGCGTTGACAAATGCGATGACTGGGCGCGCCGGTGATGCAGAGCGATTGCGCGCGGCCTGGCTAGCCTGTTTGGACGCGCTGGCAGCCCTCTTGGCACGTCAGCCGCTGCCGGCCATGGCCTTGATCGACCATGTGGGAACTGCCACGTGCTGGCTCCGCGACATGGTAAGCGATCGGTTGGATCGTGAAAATGCAGCTGCCAGCACGCGCACGACCAATTGGCCGGGATTGACGGTGCTGCTTATGGTGCTGGCACGTCTGGTGCGTGGCCTGCACGCCGACACATGTGCCGCACCGGTGGGCCAACAGGTCATGCTTGACCTGCTCGATGCGCTTGCCAGTCTGCGGGGCGTAGTGCCGTGGCGGCAAACGAGCTCTTGGCGTGCATGGCTCCGGCTGATGGCCGCCGTCCTGGCCGTGGCGCCGCGCGGAGAACGGCCTGCTGTTGTGGAGCGCTACTTGCAGCCGTTGGTGCGTGAGTGCGTTCGTGATCGTTTGCCCGGTGAGGTGGCAACGCTGTTGCTGACGGTGCTTCAGGCATGCTGCGAGCCGGCCAGCCTACGCTCCTGGTGCTTTGCTCAGGGTGTGGTGGACTACATCAAGTCCCTGGCACTGCCGCGCGCTTGGCGAACCCATCAGACGGCACTGGCCGTCGCCTGCCTGGCGTGTTTGACGGAATTGGCCAAGCACGCGGATAGTCGTACCCGTCTAGCGCAACAGCGCTTGCTGGACGCTGTTCTGCCGGGACTGCAGAGCCGAGCCCCAAGTGCCGTCCACTGGACGGCCGCCTTCTTCTACAACTATTGTCACCAAAGGGGTCTGGAAAGTCAGGCCTCCCGCGTAGTTGTGGGCTTGGTGCGCTGTGCACGCCACTTGCGCCAAGCTGCATCAGCAACGGCAGTAGCCCACTCCACCACGCCGCCTGATTTGACTCTAGTGGACGGCGCGCTGGCCATTTTGACTCGCCTTTATCGTACCACGCTTCGATCTGCCTCGCTGCCCGCCGACATTGATGCTTATCTTCACACTTTGGCAGCCTAAGCGAAACGTTTGGAGTTGACAAAAATTCGCAAGCCCCATCATTATTTATGTGCGACCTCTTAGGGTTGGCAAGTCGGGCCACTTTCTCTTTCCTGGGTGTGTCTGAGACTCACCAGGATCAAATTGACCGGTGCCAAACACTTGAGCTGCTGACGCCTCTCTTTAGTTCATCTTCTTCGAGACATGTAATACAGTGTGGTTGGTTTCCAGCAGCCAGGGTCGACTCGAGGAGAGTTCAACATCAGAGGAGGCTCATAAGGTTCTTTTTCCAATTTTTTGGCTGAGAAATCATGTTTGGGTCCGCCCTCACAGAAACGCTGTGCACCGCACTGGCTGGTAGAAAACAGAAAGAGGGGCAAGAGACAGGAAGGGGTGGGAGAGAAATTGTCAGGAGACTAAAAAAAAAAAAAAAGAGGGATCAACAAGCAAGAGAAAGGTATCCCGGCAAGCAACACGACAAAACAGAAAAGGAAGCGGGGACACAAGACACAACAAGTGGACAACAGAGGAATCAAGGCAGCGCGGCTGGCTTATTCCTCCGCCTCGGGCTGAGTGGCCTTGGCAATGTACAGCTTGCCAAAGCTTTGTCCGCTAAAGTCGGACACCTGTTTGCAGAACGTGTTGATTTGTGCCGTGACAAGCAAAGAGCCAAGACGCGAAGGGGGAGTGGGGGTCTTGTGATTGGCCACAAGCTCCGCCTCGGACTTTTCGGGCAGGCCCTTGGCCCGAAGCTGTTCGTTTTCGGCACGGCGTGCCTCGAGTTGCGCATCGAGGCTGGCCTTCGCCTTGGTGGCATTGCGGTGATACTGCTGGAACTTGTAGGCTTCCCTGTGTCGCGACGAGCCCAGAATTACACATCACAATGAGAAGAGGCATGGGAGCGACTGGCCAGGAGCAGCTTGTAAACGACGCGAAAAGAGGAAAAAAACACCACTGATACACGCACTGGGAAAGGTCATCAATGCCCTCCATGAGGAGCTTGATGTTGCGAGACATGAAGGAGGTGGCGTTGAGGTCCATGCGGTCAAAGATTTCCGATTGGTCGAGGTTGGCACTGAGCTCCGGGATCAGCAGACGGGCCATCGAAGAGGCACGAATGGTCACGGGCACCTTCTCGAAAACGGTGCGATAAGTCAGGCCAGCTTCCCGGACGGCCTTGGGGTTGAAGGAGTCGGTGCTAAACAGTTCCATAGCCTTGTTGCTGAGGCGGAAGGCAGAGAGGGACAGCGTGCCCTGGAGTGTCAAGACGGGGTCGTAAATCAACACAACCGACTCGGCCATGTGGCGCTGGTGCTGAAACTGCACGGCCGCCACGTCCTCGTCGAAAAAGGTTCCCATGTCGGCAGCCTGATCAGACGGAAAATGAGGTGAAGGATCGGTGAGGTATTCCGTGAAATGATGTGGCATGGCGGGCAGGCTATAAATCAGAAAGATGCTGCCTACCTGGTACCAGCCGACGTTCATGTGGTCAACATTGACCTCACGAAGCCATCGCATCATCTGCACCTGGTACTGTTGCACTGCTATATGAAGATCAAGACGAGGGCATGGAACGTGGAATTGAGATGCCAAGAAGGGTGGCGGGGGAAGGAACAGGGAAAACGGTGAAGCGCATAAAAGTGAAAAGAGTGGTGTGGGATGGTAATCAAGGTATGTCGTCAAGCCGTGCGCGATTGAGTCTCAGAGATCAAATGGTGAAAGTGACCTCATGGATGTTGCGGCATCCGATCAAGAGTAGCAAATATTGATATAAAAGCATCATCGACAACGCGCGCGCACGGCCTGGAGAATTGGAGATGTGCTTGTGTGTCTCGCCATGTTTGTTTCTTGGGCGACCAACATTCCTCCCGAGATTGCGATGGAACAAAGTATCATTCAAAGGTTGCTGCTTGGCAGATTTTTGAACCTACCGATGCTGTCATCATCATCGTCCGAGACGCGGGGAGTGGGGAAACAATTGGTCACCTCCAACAGCGCATCCTCGCCGGGCTTGGAGGCATCCGCCAACTGGCTCAGGCCTGTTCATATTTCGAAAGCAGGAGACAACGAAGGACCAAGTGAGGCGCAAGCAGCTGTTGGACTTGGCCTGTTTTGCCATGGACCTCGCAGATCAGACGATGCGAGCTGTACAACGAACCAAGAAGGGGGCCGCGCACAGGCTCATGGGGATTTTCGCGGGCATGCTTGATAATCTTCATCACCACCTGGAAAGCGTTGACCGAGTTTGCAGAAGCAACAAATCATGCAGAGGTGCAGGCAGGCAGAGGAAGAAATGAGTGAGCTCAGCTCAGGCCAAATTTATCCCGTTGGCCTCGCGCACCACCACCACAACCGGTCTGACACGGAAGCGACACGGGCATCATGTGCTTGCGATCATCTGAATGATCACAAGGCCCGTCTGTGACCCGGCCCGACCCAACCCAACTCGCAGCCTACAAGACACCCCGACCTCGTGCGCGCACACCAGCCCGCTCGCTCGCTCGCTGTCCCGAGTGCCTTCCAAACGAGACCTTTCACCCACAGCCAAGACTTACCAAAGCATCGACGGTCACCTGCTTGACAACACTGTTCGGCGCCTGCTGCGACGACGTCTGTTCCCGCTGGTCCCGGGACTGGAACTTTTTCTGATACGGCTGCCGCGTCGCCATTGTGCGCTGTCGTTGCCCGTCACACACACACAGACAGAGCAACGCCCGACAAAGAAAAATACAAAAGAGAGAGAGATGTGTGTGTGTGTGTGTGTGTGTGTGTGTGTGTGTGAATATAAAAGAAATCGGGCTGAAACAAAAGAAAAGTCGCGTCCGCGTGTGTGTGTGTGTGTGTGTGTGTGTGTGTGTGTGTGTGGAACAAAAGAGAGGGACGTTACAGAGCGGGATGCCTTGACACGTGAGGTGAGAATGCTTTTCACACTGTTTTCTCTCGACAAACTATTCACGTTTTTCTTCCACTCTGCGGCCCTTTGCGCCCCTTGGCGCTCAGCGTACAAGCTACCACCTGTCATAATGATCTGCTATTTTTAGCTGCAACAGCGGCGGTTGCACCACGGCTCGCTCTCACGGGGGTCTATTCCAAGGGGGTCAAACCATACACTCAAAATTAAGAGACAGAGACAAAAGAGAGAGAAAGAACAAAGACAAAAGAAAAGCAAACGAGAGAGAGAGAGACACACACACACACATATAGAAAGGGATTCCTTCCTTCATTCCTTCAGTTGTAAAAGGTATCGTCTTGAGGTCACCTCACACGTTGTGGGTGCTGTTACCACTGCTCTCTCTCTCTCTCTGTGTCTGGCTGTAGTAACCGGCAGGAGGGGGTGAAAGGGCAGCGCCGGGCGTTGGAATTGCATTTGCATTTGTATTAAATTGGTCAAGGGGGTGTTGGCATGAGGGTTGTGGGGGATGGGCGTCGGCGTTCTGGACTCACGCTGGTATCGCACGGTTCGCTTGGGGTCTTGGCAGGATTTCCTCGTCTCGCTTCCTCTTTTTAACCTTATCACAGACCTTGCACCATGCTTCGTTTGGCGGCTTCTCGTGCGGCGGCGCCCCTGGCGGCCGGCCGTGTTGCGGTCATGCGTAAGTTGGCTCAGCTGGTCCTTGCCCTTCACCGTTTTCTTTTCCTTTTATCGCCACCCATCTGCTGCCACACATTCCAAAGTCGCCATCGCCCGCGAGCCCTGTCCTCAAATTTCAGTGTTGAGCCACCTGCTCTTGCATCGGGGCACCTCGTCAAAACACAACCCTAAAACCCAAGGACACTTGTCGTCTGCGTCGACATGGCGCCAGGGCAGGCACCTTCTGTGTAGCAGCAGCACATGCTCACCCCGTTTTTCGTGCCCTGGCACCTGTGCTGCCGGTTTTGTCTAGGCCCCGTCGCTGCCGTCCGTCACTACTCGGAGGAGCTCTCTGCTTCCGAGTTTGATGCCAAGTGGAAGGTGTGTGCTGCTGCTGTCCTCTCTCGCTCTCGCTCTCTTCTCTCTTTTTCAACCGCATCCTTGAACTTGGACGTGGCTGACGGGCTGGCTCTCTTAATTCGTCAGGCTTACTTTGAGGATGAGAGCCTTGACTCGGGTGCCATCCGACGAGGCCTCAACGACCTCTTCGCCCACGATTTGGTCCCCGAACCCGCCATCCTTGAGCAGGCTCTGCGCGCTTGCCGTCGTGTCAATGACTTCTCCACGTGAGTTTTTATTGCCTTGGTGCCGGAGCAGGATAATTGCGGAGCTCGCACCCGTGACCGCCAGTGAAACCAGGCTGCGTGCACCGTGTCTATAAAAGGCCAGCTGACTTGTCTGTCGTTGTGTCTCTTGGCCTCTAGCTCGGTCCGCATCTTTGAGGGCGTGATGGACAAGGCCCCTGATGCCACCACCTACAACTACGTTGTCTCTCAGCTCAAGCCCGTCATTGCCGAGCTTGAGGTCACTCTCCCCGAGGAGCTTGGTCTCCAGTAAATTCATTCAGCCTTTTTTTCTGGTGTGCCGTGACCCATTCCTGTTTCCAAGTCCCATTCCTCCTTTTCATTCTTTTTCCTCCCCGTCTCTTATCCTTTGTCTGGGCGTGGTTTGGGCTTGGGCAGCTCTACCCTAGTCCCGTGAGTACGTGATCTGCGGCCTCGCGACGGATGCATTTTTTTTGTTTGTGACTCGTCGAAAGAGCCGACGAAGGGGATCCAGATCCAGACTTGGCGACCTGCGCTTTGTCCCTCGTTGCCGACGTCAGGGTCAGACCCTTTTGTTCACGTCTCATCGTTCGCGTCCATAGACTTGTTTCCCGTTTTGTTTGTCCTTGACCCTTGCCTTGATCTTTTTTCCGGTCTTCCCTTTGCCCCGTTTATCCCCGCAAAGACCAATTGCAGTCCTTGCCCCTAATATCACCCGACAGGGAACCTCCTCATGCAACCCCAAATGTGGCAACGACTCGGTTTCAGTCCCCTTTCTCCAAAAAAAAAAAAAAAAAAAAAAAAAAGTCTCTTTGTCTCGATTGATGGCTGGCCCCATGCATGTGTCTTGGCGGAGAGGCCCGAGCAAGGAAGCAGATAGAGGACGTCAGGAAGTCTCTACGCTAGGCGGCTGTAGCCTTCACGCATGATTTGAATCTTTTCGCCGCTCTCCTGCAGCGTCTGCAAAAGGGCATCGATGCCTCGCTACGCGCACAACAAGAAAAAAGCATGAGTGGAACTTCCATGGCCCTGCGTGCGTGCCGTGGACACTTTACCTGCTGCAACTGTAAGTGATTCATAATGTGCTTGATGGTCGCTGTGGGCAAGCTGGCATGTGCAGTGCTAGTCGACCGCAGCGGTGACTGGCAGCATACCCAGAAACGAGAGACCACATGAACAAAGTGAGGGCCACCGGATGAGAGACGCATCGACAGCTTCCCTGCACCAGAATCAGAGGGCAGGCCCACGCAAGCGTACCAGTTCCAATTTGGCCTTGAGTTCGCTGACGCGACCCTGCTGCAATTCGTCGATTTGCCGCGTCATGGCGCCCAAGCGGTTGCCAATGGTGTTGAGATCTTGCAAAGTCATGCGGCGGTCCTCACGGGCAGCAAAACGCATCAGCTAAATTCCATTACACGTGTTGAAAACAAGTGAGCGCACCATGGCTACATGGCAAAGGCCCAAGCCAGATTGGTCGAGAGAACCCACCCGCAAGATGCGCGAACCAATGGCCACGGCATTGTGCTGCAGTTCGTCAATCTTGCCCTTGAGCAAGTCCTGACGGCTCACAACTTGATGCAAGCTGCTTTGAATGCTCTGCGTGACCGACCGCAACAGCAGGTGAATGAGCATCGCCCCGAGCACGGTCTCGCGTGCTCTGGCATCGGAAAACGTGCACCCACCCACTCACACACTCACACATACCTCATCAAAATCGCCCGTCAAACGTTCGCGATGATAACTAAGCTCCTCGTCCTGAATTTGGCTGCGCCGCGCCAGGCCGTCAAATCCAAAGATGGGAACGGGGAAGTAGCGCTCCGGATCAGGATTGGCCTTGCGCGCATATGCCCAGAGCTCAGATGGGATCCCCTGTGTCGGTGTTGAGGCAACCCAGCATTACCCGCCGAGGATGCCATGAGTTAAATCCGCCCGTGGCACAATCCATCAGACACAGCCTTTAAAACCTACGTCGGGCCGCTTCAGTGCATCTAGCACCTGCTCGCGTGTGCGCTCAACAACTGGATAAAAACCCTGAGCCAAGCGCATGACATGTGTAACATGAGATAATATTCAGCGCTCGCGTCGGATTTGCGAGAAAAGCTACGACACGGCACCGTACCTTGACGTCAAAGCGCTGGGCTTGAGCATTGTACTTGGTTTCACATCCCAAGCTCTGCAGGCCCTCCTGAATATCCTTGTGATGCGGCTTGGCACCACCTGCACCAGCTGCGGTCGTGCCTCCCAATGTGCTGGTGCCAAAGCCGGTTTTGGCAGTAGAGCCGAACCCACCGCCACCAAAGCCTGTCGTTGGCTTGCCAAACCCCGTGGTCGGCTTACCAAAGCCACCCCTGCGTCATTAAAAAACGTGAGCCAAGCTAGCTGATGGACCGGATTTTAGGCTGCTCCAAATAATCTTGGGAGAAAGGAGAAAAAAGGCCAGCACGTCTCCGTTGAAACCTACAGCCCAGAGGTGGTCGCGCCGGTGGCCGAGGCGCCAGCCTTGTAAGCCTCGGCCAAAAACTCATCAATCTTGCTTGCGCGCAGAGGCTTTTTTGTGCGATCCAGTACTTGGAAAATCAGCTCCACCCTGCGGTTCAACACGATCCCCCAGCAGCACACGTGTACCATGACCAAACGCCTGACAAAACGTAAAAGGCATGCCGTGTCGGTTGAAAGATACGTACTTGCCCTCCTGGGTCATGCGCACCGAATCGACGTAGACCTCTTGCAACGGCTTGAGTAGTTGCTTCAAAACCTGTTGGTATGAACAAAGCAAAATACACCGGCAGGCGCGCTCAATGGATGAGACTGGATGCTACTCTGAAAAAAAGAAACGCAAACCGGGGCTTTTATGATGGCAACTGAAGATGAGCTGGGCATGCTTGAAAAGGTACCTTGTTCTGAAGATGGGATTCGATGGCTTTTACGTTCTCCTTGATTTCATCGTAGCTGCCATTGATGATAATGCCAATGCGGCCCTCTCGGTCGCCCTGGCGTGGCAAAAGGTTGTAGGCCACAGTCTTGAAAGCATTATAACTCGATTCCTTGGGCACCTTGGCAGTATCTGCCTGGTTGGGCTGGCCTGTGGACAGGAAAAAGGTTCCGTGGCCCCACATGGCCTAAATATATGGCACCAGCATGCAGCCAGAGCAGCACAGAAGCACAGGAGTCGTGTCAGCAGATGCATAAGAGAGCTTGCCGAGAACACGGCCGGTTGAAAGGCTCAACCATCTGAATCTGAGTGGGACGGCTTCCAAACGCGAACAGCGGGCTTTGGACGGACCTGCATGTGATTGAATCGCTTGATTGTGTCATCGCGGGCATCGCCGTGTCGCTGGACGTGATACTCGGCCGGGATGTAGCGTTCTAGCAACAGGAAGGAATGTTACCATGAGCCCAGCCAACGAGGAGGCGCTCTTCTTCTCTTTTTCTTTTTGTGAAAAGCAGAAGAAGAAGTAGTGACGCAAATGGCAAGAACAAGATGAACTGAAGCAGATGGGTTGCACTCACGCGGACCCTGCGGCTGTGGCTGTTGCTGAGCCTGCTGCTGCTGCTGCTGACCAAAGCCACCCACGCCAAAGCCCGACGTGGCCGTGGAGCCAAAGCCAGTGGCAGGCTTGCCAAACCCTGCAGTTGAGGTGCTGGTTGCACCAAACCCCGTGGTTGTGGCGGCGCCAGGCGTGCCAAATCCGGTGGTCGTGCCAAAGCCCGTGGCCGGGGCCGACCCCGGTGTACCAAAGCCCACGGCCGGCGAGCGTTTTGCGCCAAAGCCGGTGGTACCTGCGGTGCTCGTGGCCGCCGGCGCTCCAAACGTGGTTGCAGCGCGTGTAGCCTGCATGCTTCCAGCCGTGCCAAAGCCCGTCGCTGGGGCCGAACCAAAGCCCGTCGCTGGGGCCGAACCAAAGCCGGTGCTCATGACGACAACCTCGAACTCACCAAAATCGTAATTGCCACCAGCACGACCCCGCCTACTGCTCAGGTTCACACCGAAACAACCGGATGACTGTGGTGCTCCGCCCCAAGACGCACGACCCTACACCCTCCACTCAACCCCAGGCAAAGACGCTCGCACACCCGCCGTCCCACACTTGCACTCGTACCAGCCCCGACCAGCGACAAGTGCGCCTCGAACACTCGAAGTAGCAAAAAAAAAAATTGTTGTTGAAGACTTTCTCTCTCTCTCTCAAGCTCACTCTCTCAATCTCTCAATCTCTCTCTCAATCTCTCTCAATCTCTCTCTCTAAATCTCGAAATCTCTCCCTCTCTCTAAATCTCTCTCAAAAATCAATCTCTCTCTAAATCTCCCTCTCTCAAAAACGTTGACATCACGTTGGTATTGAAATTGAAGAGTAGACTTTAATTTTAGGTCACCACTGAGAAATACACTCTGCGTAATTTGTTATGGCCCTATGAGGATTTCATTCCACCACGCCAATACAGGTTTTAACACAAAAAAAAATAGCCGTTACAAAAATCAGTTTTCTCTCTCTCGCGTTCTCTCTCTCTCTCTCTCTGTGCGCGCGCTGCTGGTGTGTCGCGCACGGATCTTTCAAGCTCAAGCGCGCCAAGGCTTGCTGCGACCTTGTATATCCACATACGACCTCCCCACCGTCAGCCATGGGGCGTCGTCGACGGTGCGTGCTTGTGTTGCTCTTGGCCCGGGCCGGTATGGCTTCCCCTCATTCGACATCATGCTTGAATTTTTGACAGCAACGCCCTCTCCTTGCGGAGACATGGCAACCCTGGCTCCACTTCCGCAGCTGCCATTGCAGAAGGAGGTGTGACTTTTCCCACCCACAACACAGCTGGCGTTTTTTGGGGGGCTTGACGCTCGTCATCATCTCACCAAACGCTGCTTCTTTGATGCGCAGCTCAAGAAGTGGCTGCTGTGGCTCGAGCTGGTGTCCTGGTTTGGGTGCAGCATGCCTCCTTTCCAGTGTGTATCTTGCCACCATGCCCGGTGCCTCTGCCCCCGCTGCTCGGTGCACTCACTCTTGATTTGCGCGCTCCGTCCATCTTCGCTGCAGTGGTGGCCCGGGATGCTGACTTATGACCCGCATTCGGGAGAATTTACCAGGGAAAGTGCTAATCATCGAGCTTACCACATCCAGGTTGGTACAGTGCGCCTCGGACGTTCTGTCTCAATGTAATCGGTGGCGCACAAGCAAAGATGCAAGAAGTCATCTGCCAAGGCCTCCTCACGACAAGAGCCATACGCCTTGCTGCAGTATTTTGGTCCCGTGATTTCCCGTGCCTGGTCGAGCTCGCGGACACTCCTGCGCCGCTGGAAAGCTGGCGAAAAGGTGAGCTCTCATCCCGAATACCCACGTAGCCTACACAACCTTGACCTCCCTTGCATTGGCCCTTCGTCTTCGTGCACGCCTTCTCCCGAATCCCAAACGCCCACGACCCTTGCTTAAATGGCCCCTGCTCTTTAGGATGGCGGCCTGGACCCAACGCTCCTCAAAGTCGGTCGGCTATCCCCCAAGCTGGCCAACGAGCGAGCAGCGGCTCTACAGCAAGCACATGCAGTTGCCGAGCTATCCCTGCGCGAACGGTGCGCACGAGTGTTCCTTCGTGCCTTTCCATACGCCTTGCCCTGTTTTATTTTCCACCTCTCGCACAATCGCTCCCCAACGCTGATCATGCCCCTGATATGGTCAATAATACCTAGCATTTTGCGCTGGGCCTGCGACTTCAAGACGGAGCGTGGAGACAAGGCCAAACCCAAGCTGGAAGAATCAGACAAGGACCAAGCTACTGCCCCTGGTGCGATGATTCGACGCGACGCAGGCAGCTGTTTTTCTCGCCCGGCTTGCATTCTGGCTTTCAATCTGATATGCCGGCCACCTCGGTGTGTCCCTAACGCCAGGAACCGTCTCGGCACCCCCTCGCAAAATCGGCGTCCCGCGCAGCAAGACTGCATATCAGTTTTACCTAGACGTACGTCAACCCAGGCCCCGCTTCATTCCGCCCTGGTCAAGCTTTTAGAAACTCCGACGAGCCTCACTCATCTACCTGGCACCCATGTGAACTTTGGACAGCATCGGCGTGCCGACGTCATGCACAACTTGGATGATGACGGCACGAGCAAATTTGCGCGCAATGGCAAGGTCACCAAGCTCATTGCTGCCGAGTGGCAAACTCTCACGGCTGACGAGCGCCTGCCTTTTGACAAGCAAGCTGAAAAGGCCAAGGTGAGCCCCTCTTGGTGCATCCGCTCGGTCCCTCTCCATACACAGGTAGCTGTCAGACCCCTGCCGCGCCAGCTGCGTGCCGTCTCAATGAGAATTCACTCGTTTTCGTGCTGAAACGATTGTCTTTCGCGGCATCATCCCAGAAACAAGCCATCTCCAAAGCACAGGAGATGCGAGCCGAGCTCGAAAAGAGCGAACCTGTTACCCCTGAACGCACAGGTCTGACCTCTTCTTTGCCGCCAGGACGGTCCTGTGCCGTACGATGGCCTTGTTCTCACATCAAAACGTGCTTGGCGTGTCTGGAACTCACTTACGCTGGCCGCCGCCTAGCTTCTCTCAAACCCGCCGTTCCTCGCACCAAAACCGCCTACATGTTTTACTTGGATGTATGTCGCGCAACACCCGCTGTTGCGCTGCCCCGCATTGTTAGCGTGCTACTTTGCCGCTTCAGCTTGGACTGAAACGCATTTTCATTGGTGCCGTGACTGGGGCTCTCCTGCAGCATCGGCGTGCCGACGTGATGAAGGGAATGGACGATGACGGCACCAGCAAATTCGCGCGTAACGGTCGGGTGACCAAGCTGATTGCAGCCGAGTGGAAAGCTCTGTCCGAGGAAGCACGGGCACCCTTTGTCGAGGCTGCTGAGATTGCAAAGGTGCGTCTGACCGCAACCGTTTCTTTTTCGGCCCATGGTCTCGCATGAGAACAACACCGGGCTGAAAAAGCACCTCAATCTCCTTCTTCCCCACCCCGTCCCAGAAAACCGCAATCGCGCGCACTCTCGAGCTCGCACAGGCAGATGCCAGTTGCCCTGACTCTCCTGGTGATCGTCCCCCGCCCATGGTGGCAGCGTTTCGCCTCTTTGCCCAAGATTTCCTCGGTAGGACATCGTGTTTTATCAGGCCCGTGCCATTTCGGCACACAGACCTGATCATCAACTCAACTCGGTGCGACTCTTTCTTCCCGTAATGCAGCCAAAGCGCAGGACTCGGGCGATGAACTGGTGCACTTGGACTCGGCTGATCAAGGCCTGCGCGTCCACGAAAAGTGGATGGCACTTACCCGAACTCAACAACGAGCCTTTGTACGCCGTGTTCAACCAGATGCTTTGCCCAACAAATCGGGTGCTTCAACGGCTGCTGCCTCGCCTTCTGCCAGTGTGTCACCAGACGAGGACCAAGCCAGCAACGAAGGCCAACCAGCTGCCAAGCGCAGTCGCAGCTCACGCACAACCATGACTGCCAACGATGACACGTGCCGTATCTGCGGAGAGCTGGGTCAACTCATTTGCTGTGATGGTGGCTGTCGTGGTGCCTTTCACCTTGAATGTCTCAGCATCTTGCAACCCCCCACCGGTACGCCTGATTGTTTCTTTGACAAACATACGGAGGCGCACTTGATTACACAGAGGCCGTCGGTAGAGTCAGCCAGTTCACGCTTGTTTGTTTGTTTGTTCACACAACCCATACCACTGTGACGCAGGCGAATTTCGATGTGATGAGTGCTCTACGGGCAATCACACGTGCTATACGTGTGACAAAGTGGGCGCCGACCTTATCAAGTGCCAATTTCCACACTGCAACAAGCTTTATCACCGTGGATGTGCTGAAAAGCAATTCAAGGCCGAGTAAGCGCTGTGCAGACCCTTTCTCGACCCTTGTTGGCTCAATCAAAATGCCTGCCGGCAAACCGCTTCTTACCATCGGCCTGTGCCGCTGATAGTTTGGATGCTGAAGAAAACAGATGCGACGTCTTCCACTT